TCGGGAACAACATTGTAATCTCGTTATCACAGTATTTAGCATGGATGTATATATATATATATATATGATGTTTTATCCGTACTCCTTTATTGCTGTGTCTATTGCTCTGACTGACGAGTGAATCGGAGCCCAATGTTATCACGCAGCTCAGACATTTGGTTCTGCCAGACCAAGCACTCCGCCACACACAAAAGGTCACCAAGGTTATCACTGTGAAGGCCAAGAAAGTTATTTTTTGAACTACATGAGTAGCACAGCATTACGGACGCTTGTCATAACGGTGTAACGTACGTATCCATCTAATTCTATATATATATACACATACATATGGACATGCAGTAGATCATTGCTTTATGCATATTAGCATACTGCACTATCTATGAATTGAAGGCGCCAGTGTCAATTATATTTTTTTTGCTAACTAATAGAACAGCATTTCGTATCAGACAAATCAAAACAGTATCCCCTTTTTGGATCGTTCCGATCGTGCTTGCGAACCAACACGACGAAGGGATTCCTTTCGCAGTTTAAGAGCGATCCCGCGATTCAAACGACGAGCAAAATCGGAGACTGTACTAACAAAGAAACTAACTAAAAAAAATTATAAATTAAAAAAAACGAACAAATATATTTTTTCTTTGAGTAGAAATTCTCAAATCGACTAGGTCGGTTGCTTGCTTTGCCAGTATCGCATGTTCCACGAGACTAGATTTAAATTGTTCTTGATGTTTATATCGTTATCTTGTTGCTAGACGAATCGTTAGATCGAATACAAAATAGATATTTAGTTGTCCTTTCCACTTCTAAGTGAGAGTCTTTTGAGTTTCATGTCCAAAACCACCGCATGAGATGGTTCTGTTAATGCCCAGCGAAGCTTGTGCCTACCAAAAACTTTGAAAATAATAAGTCCTATATTTTCAGTCTGAAGGGTTCCAACACTTCTTGTTTCTTAGTATTGTATATGTTCCTATTTGTATTTGTATTGCCTATCCGCGTTCAAGTACCAGACCTCAACATTGTGTGAATCGTTGATATTACATTTTAACTGAACTAGTCGTTGCGTCACGCAAACGACCACCTTAATCTTGAAGTTTTATAAAGATTTTGTGAATAGTTAACTTCATCATCAAATTAGGACGCTCGGACAGTAATTATTTAACTTATCTTACGCTTTCTACTATATATACATATACAAAGGGATTCCTCTCTGTATCCCTCTGAGTGAAGTTACTCTAACATTATCAATGTTCTTCACTTTGCTAAGGGCTCTCTCTACATCCCTTGTCAACTGAGCATGTTGCTGAGAAGCCTGAACCTGCTGGCAGCGAACTACAGCAATTTCATCTTTTGTCACGGCGATGAAGAGAATTCGACCGCGTCATCTAGGTACTGTAACGTCCCAACGAGAACGTTACACTATCTAGAGCTTGCTGGGTTGTATTAAGCAGGCACTATACAAATATGGTAACTTCACGCTAAAAATTTTATACTTCCATACACTCAGAACCTAAAGGTACATGGATCTTGCTACATGTAAATTAAATATTTTCGGTGGTGCTACAGATAGTGAGTACCATACTGCTACCCTCGGTCATAAAACGGATGCGTATATAGTATACCGCGTACTGTCTTATCTTAGGTCCATATTTGACTAAGCTCAATCTTATTTCTGCTTCATTGAGAGTAGTTATTCGCCCGTCGTAGTTTCGCACATCTTTTTGCTTGAAAAAGGCACCCAAGCCTTTCAAATAGAAAACGCTTGTTTTCTGACAACTTTGATCAAAAATCTGCCATTCTGCTGTTCCCTTTAGCACTGCTTCGCATGAGGAACTACAATACTAAACACTAAATACGAAACTACTAAATAAATTTTGACACTCAACTCAGATTCGAATCTGTTCTAACAGCTCTGGATTATTCATAGACACTAGAATAATAAAGGCCAGGGCTGCAGACGTTAAAGGGCTTGATTAGCGGTACTTCGTATTGCTTAAGAAAGATATATTTGTACAACAATCAGTGTTAAAAAAAACTGTCGAATAAAAATATGCTAAATTTGACAACAAAACAAAATGCAGCATGGTAAACTTGACCGCAACGTTTCATTTTACTGAGTAACGAAAGTTGACTGTGGTATCCGGTTTCTGATCCAATTGACTTGCTTAATATAAAAAGCCTGGTAATTAATGAGAAGCTACCTTATAAGCGGTTCCTACTCTTGCTAATGCTAGTTGATGCTTAGAATTACCACATTACGGCAGATTACACTGTTACTACCGTTTGTTTCACCTGAATTCATTATCTGTTTTTTCAAGCCGATTCAATTTACAGAAGAACAGGAGAGCAGTTAAGCGAAGCGGCCGGAGGACTGCCGCCAATGTGAAATGTTTTATTGGATATAATGATGCACCTTGTACATCTTTCTACTGTCTAAACCACTGGGTTAATGAAAGAATTAAGAACAAGAATTTGACTTTATACTAACAGGAAATGCCATTGCGGTCCAATTCCTAGCTACAATCTTCGTATGAATTCAATACACTTGTGGCGCAGTTCTTCCAGTCGTTTAAACAACTTTTGAAGTTCCTAGCGAATTTCTGTTTTGTTCTTGGCTTTTCTCAACTATCTTTAAACCTTCACCGTTGAGGTGTTTTTTAAACTTTGGGAAAAAAGCCCGGAAAACACGAAGGCAAGGCTAGGCCTAGTGCATACCGCGATTGAGGCAACACCGACCGCAGGCACACCATTGCACTGAAGACGCGCAACTTAGCCCATCAATATCCAGACCTAATTTAAGCGGTAGCATTACGCAAATTTTTTCTTTAATGCGAGTAGAATTACTCAGTACGAATTTATAATACATGAATCTCCGATATAGCGGAAAAGACCGATGAAAAAGAACTTGCTTTTTTGGTTGGACCCTGCAGCCTTCAAAATGACACTCAGACGATTGCGCCTTTGTCCTCATGCCGTATTTGTACAGCCACGTCTCGGCACCTGTGGCGATGCGTTACAGCGTATTTGGCTTCTCTTTAAGAACGGTCAAATTCTTCTGAGACTGTGGTTAACCCGTTTGGATTTACTCAAAATTCAAGTAATCCAAAATTCATTAAGTCTTTGCCATGAAATTTCCCGCTTTGTGAAAGTTATCCGAAATGACTCAAATAAAACATCTACCTTTTCCTTAATTTCCTAAGGACAATTTGGGAACCTCCTACAATAGCTGCTTTGCATCTTCCACGTTTTCGTTCGAATCCACTGTGACAGGGCCTTCCCGATAAAAGTTTTTTCAAGGCTCTCTCGCCCCTTGCAAAACCGATATCACCACTTGTAACTCGGCATTGATTAGCCTACAAAAGCCTTTAGCTTGACTAATGAGCACTTTATTTCGTTCGAACGCAAAACATGATATCCCTTAGGATCGCATTTTGAGTTTTTAAAAATAAAACACGGTGAAGAGACATTGACTTTAAAATATCTACAAATCACACAAGTCATACACGAAAAAAGTTGGGCGTCTTATTAACACATTTTTCACCTAAAACCTACCTCATAAGTAGCAATATGATAGATTGATAATTATAATAATAATAATAGTCAAGCTCAAGATTAAATTTAAGCTCCCAAATGTCTCTAACTCTACCTGAGATTGAAGGAAATTCATCTGTACCGCACGCCACCATCAATATTCCCCAGTATCCTGAATGGTCCGTTTCAATCCAACATATTTCTTTGTCAAGATAGTTAATGCACAATATTTCATATGAAGGAGCCGTTTAACAATAACTAAGGTTTAAGCAAGCTTCAATGAAGAGATCGCCACTTGGCTAATATTTATCGAACCGGATGGCACCTGTTTACTTCTTTAGAATTAGTTTTCCTTAATAACCAAAGGATATTGAGCAAAAACAAGCGGTCTATAATTGGATTGAGTAAATTACAAAAGTTATATGGCTAGTATATCATATAAAACTGCAAAAACCTGTAGGCGAGCCCAGATTCCCCAATAAAGCAGCACAAGTAGCTCAGACAAGTCAAAACAAGAGCAAACAGATAGCTAACTTTATTCTGAGCAGAGCAACTGGCATACAGCATGTATATATATATATATATATATATATATATATAGATTGTAGTACGTCAACGTCAATAATTATCGACCTACTTGCACAACTGACAGTCCATGAACATCGAAGCTAGATAAAAGGTATAAGCCAGGAGCCTGGTAAGATGCGCAAGCTTGATATGAAATTCGCGTTGAACAGATATCGCTTTACAATGAAAGGACGTCCATGATGTTGACGCCAGTTTATATTGTTTTAGCCTGTCTCCATCCAAGGGAAACAGGACAGTTCAGGGAACCTCTTGTTTCGTTATAAAAAATGAATAAATAATTTGCTCTTATCGGAAGTGCTCATCTGCATGCATAATAAAGGTTAAACAAAAATTCACAGGGGGAGGAACTTTATACAAATGCGCAATTTATTGACTTTTTTCACAACGTCAATAGATAACCACAATATGTCCTTTAGAAATCATCGCTGGCATCAAACTTCCATTACTTGATATCTACTATGCTGAAAGGAGTCAATTAAGCACTTCTAAACTAACGACTTATTAAAATTGCTAGGTTGTCGTAGATGATTATGTTCCTTACCAAAATTAGTAAAAAAACAGTAGCGTAGCATGCTACAGCTGTCCAAATATTCGCATCACAGAGTGAACGTACGCCATTAGGAGTGCTCTAATTATCTAAGGTTAAGAATATTTTTTTTCCGTATATCTAGTTCTTAAGTGTTGAGATATTATATGGGCCACTTTCTAAACTGTCAAATAAATTGTGGACTACTTTCAAAAATATAAATTAAATTAACAGATGTGGATTTATATAATAGTCCTACTACAAGTTAAGTCATTCTATGCCAAAAGTATGCACAGCAATTATTAATTAACAATCAAAATATCACCAACAATATTTGTTCCAATCAAAGATTACGTACCGTCAGAGGACTTCGGGCGGTCCGGCGGTCATCCCGTGATCTTCGCGCTTCAAGTCGGCTAAGCAGCGTGATATGGACCACTTGCAGAACGGAGATTACCAACACGAGAATGACAACCAAAGCGCGCCACAGCTGCGGAGCTGAACAGGCCAGACAACGAGCTTTAAGTCGCATTTCGTCGATTTTGTTTTCTACTGTGTTTCCCGCTTCTAACGGTGTCTGATTTTAGTTATCACTGTTACCGCCACAGGCCCAATCGAAACAACCGCTCTGCCTAGTTTCTACCGGTTACCCCACTTCTCTGGTGGACGTCGATCGGCGATATCGAATCGCGCGCCAGCGGCAGCCACACGTTACGAGTGTCATAGAAGTAGTCACCCACCACTTCGGCGCGTCCGATACTTCCGTATTGAATCCTTCATTAAATACTGACTAGACGGCTCAACGCGTCCGGGAAGGTGAGATTGATTATCCTAAACGCATGCGTCCTTCACTTTTCTTTATCGACATCATATGTACATCCTTTCGATTAGGTCAAGACATTACAACATATCCTTCGCTAGAATCAGCATCCGTCGACTTACATCCTCGAAAGCACATTAGCCTTACCATTATCCAACATCACCGAAACATAAAACACTGTCACCCACTAAGGCTACCAACTAAGTTTGCAGCACCACATTATACATTGGCACATAATTCCTTAACACTCTTCGTTGCAGAAGTCGGTTGCTCTTGACTACCGTCTTACACTTTTCGATTCAGCTTGACCGGATTACCTTCTTTATCGTCTGGCTTTTTACTAAAACTGCCGGTGGGTCCATGATGATCCAGTTTACCTTCTGCGAGTTTTCTGACAGCAGTTTTACTGTGCTACGAACCGCCAAGTATAGCCCATGAAATACGATATTACTCTATCAAAACCAGCATAACATGATTCTCGACTAACCTACGTAGAATAGAACCAGCTTGGACCTCAATGATCGACAATTTCTTGAACGTTGTCACGTTGCGGGAAGAGACGTGCACACTCTGGAGTCATTAACTGAAGCGTTCTAGTGCTCTGCGCTAGTCGCAGGCGACTCTCCGAGTCGCGAACCTCCCCCCCCCCGGGAGAGAGGGTACCGGTGCGAGGAGGCAGCGCCGAGCGCGGGGCTAGTCACAACGGAACTGGCGCCGCCACAGTAGTCCACGGAATCGACATCAAAAGAGCTGCTAGCAGTAGTAATTGTGGTGCACTAAGACAGCTGTTCTAGCCACGGTCGGCGCGTTAAGGCATCCGTACCCGTTTTTGATTCCGTTCACATGTCCGCCTGTCACACTGCTTGCAGCTTGTGGACGACAGTTGCCAAACAGAAGACTACGAAAATCACGTGTATAAGACACGTAGAACGGCGCTTACCATCAAGCTACATTCGCGCACTGCAAGACATTACAAATAAGAAGCCGTCGCGCCTGTCGCTGGTGGCGGTTGATGTTGTTTGTTCGAGGGCCAGTTGACAGCAAGGAAAGGGGAACGCTGTTAATCCGCGGAATCTACTGGAAAGTACGGATTTTTTGAAGATTTCCTGATAATGAATCAAAACAAAAAGTACAATCATTGACGTATCATTTTATGAACTCAATATTATTAGTATTTATCTCTGTAGGCGTGCTAGGGAATTAGAACGTTAATTATAGATGTTATATGACTAACCTTTGTCCAATGTCTTTTAGAGCATTCTGTCGAATAAAACATTGTTTTTGAATGTAAGAATGTAACCATGACGTGTGGTTAGGCGTCCATCTATACCTGAGATATTCGTAATTTCTATAGCGAAGTAATGTGCGCAAGTGTATAGATCATTAGTGTGATAGCCAGGGTGTGGGTTGCACTATATTGTTGCAAAGGTGAGACCGAAACAGTGTTCCAGTTATGTTCTGAGTGGGCAACGCTACTTCTTCTAGAATTTTTTAACAGATCTGTTCGTTCGCGCATATAAACATGGTCAACATCTGTTCACACTCTTTTTTTTTGCTATGGTTATTAATAAAAATGCGATAGCAATAAATGGCAGCGTCATTCAGTTTTCTGTCCCTGAGAAAACCCAAGGAAGTGAACGTAAGTAGACCTGTTACTAAGATGTAGAAACCTTTGGAAATAAGCGTAAATTAATATACGTAAGTTACTCAAATTTAACTTACAAATAGTTTGAACGCCAGGTCATTGCGGACAACAACTCATGAAGGTGATATTCATCTAACACCTAGTCTAAAGACGGTTATCAAACTTAGCCACTGCTTCAGTTGTTTCACTCTGTTATGCTCTATTAAAAAAAAACACTATATAGCTACGGCTGCCTATATAACCTCGCTTTAAAATAAAGTCGTCACTATATGCGTATTCGAACAGGATGGTGGATAAATCACTAACGGAATTTTCAAATCCTTTCTGAAAAAAAGAATCTCGATCGTCTATATATAATAGTCATTTGAAAGTCAATGTTGAGTTCATGATAGAGTGTGCTTTAGTTAAAAGTGTAAAAAAAAAACTTCAATCAAAACTTGCGTTGTAACTAACAACTGTTCAAAGATACGATAGACTGTCGATGCACTCAAAGAACGGTAGACGAAAGCATGTATTCTGAAGCGTTTTACGGCTTTTTCGGCATTTTTACAGTAACTTAGTTAGTAATTAGTTTCATATAAATCTGCAAGACTTTCTGCATCATCGGTTTCAAAATAGAAAAAAAATTGCTCTGGCAGTCCATCAATGGCTTTTCATTTTATAAACTAGAAAAATTATATATATATATATATATATATATATATATATATAAAGAAAGAGAGAGAGAGAGAGAGAGTATAGAGTTCAGCCTCATTCACAAATTCAAATGACTGGATGGGTATCATCCATTTGAAGTAATTGTTTCACGGTTTTAATTTACATGCTGATATCAAAAATTTCTTATGACTCTAATATAACTAATAATGAATATAGCCATTGCTATGATGTAAGTCGGGGAGTTTTTTTTTTTTTATATACGTTAGATATTTCTTGTACCTCTTTTATGCAAGACTTGTATGTGATACACTGCCTATTTATATTAGATCTATCCAGTTCCAGGAACTAATTACTTCGTAAATTAGTTATACTAAATCCGTAATCAAGATGAAAGTGTAAATACTGCGGCTGTTACTTCTTTCTGTGACATGGCCTTAATCGGTCACAATTTACTATAACCTATATATTAGAACGTCGTGTTCAGTTTAAGAGTCATCATAAGAACGTTTGTATCTGACTTGTTGACACTCTTTAACCAGTGGTAAAGACAGCTGTAATTATCATGAGTCGTGAGAGTGCTTCTTGATTAGATTGTTCGGAGCACTTGATTCGTATATTTAAGTAGTCACGAATTCATTCCTTAATACTATTCTCAGCAGGCTAAAACTGATGTCTACAGCCATAAATCAATTCAGGGATTTGAAAGTCTGCTCCGAGCTATCTTATTTACACACATATAAAGCATCAAGGACTGAATGAAACGTTTTGTATATATATATATATATATATTGTGTTTAACGGCTCACCTCGTCGTGATGACGTAATGACGTAGGACATTGTTTTCAGATGCGTCTCTACCTTGTTGCGGTGTTTTGCGTCAGCACATTGATTGCAGTCGTTTCCGCAAGCGATGATCTCTACGATATACTTGGCGTGAAGAGGACCGCAAGCCAGAAAGATATCAAGCGAGCATTTCGCAAACTTGCAATCAAGTACCATCCCGACAAGAATAAAGTACGATCATAGAATTACTTTTACTAGCACGCTGAAATCAACATTCGATGCAGTCAGTTTGTGCGAATTGGAATGGCGTCTTCAACCTAGCGTAACCTAGAGCGATTCGATAACTTCTGGAACCTCTGGAAAATGGTTTTAACCAGCTAAAGATAACTGTTGGTCTTTTATAGTTTCAACTGGCAATTCAGTTTGTCCCAATTAGAACCAAGCTATTCGACTTTTTATTTAAAACAAATAATGGATCGAGAGTATAAAACAATTAGTTAGCTATCTATATCTATTTCAATTACGAACATATTCGTGCGTAACACCTATATTGCGTACAAACGATTTAGTAAGCTGCCATAAGCTACGTAAATTTGTCACGTCGAACCCTCCTAGCAAGAAATAAGAAACTAAAACACGTCTATCTCTCGTAAATTCGTGTGGTCTTATTTCCGGTGAGAGTTCTCTCTTTATTGAGATTCCTCTAACATAGCATTTTTCGTTGTTCGCTGTGTGGCGAGCGACGAACGTCCAGGCGATCGCGCTAGGAAAGACAGACAATTTATTGAACTTTAGGAATTCCAATTATAGGACCCCGTCCTGACCACTGTGCTTGATGCGTGTGTAGCCTGCACCTTTCACGTCTATCAGATCGAAAGCTCCTGCACCTTGATCTAGGAATTCGAGTAGGAATTTCTATTAATTCTGAGCTCAATATAGGCTTTTGCCCATGTTGAACTATACCTCTCAACTGTTTTATGACAAAGTAGTATTACTATGTTGCCGTAAAGCCCGATGATATACCGTATAATTTATATCCCGTATCTAGCAGTACAGTTGATGTATTCAATGCACCAAGATACTATATTGATTATATATGAAAAATTCGGAGAGAATGGCAGCAATGTAAATATGGTTTAAAACAACAGAAGTAGATAAAGGATGTCACAATTTATCTGTTTACCTTCGGCAAGTGAACGAAAATCCTATGTGGTGTTCGTGTGACGCCATCGATAAGATTTTGCTTTCATGTGCAGGACAAGGGCGCTGAAGAGAAGTTTCAGAAGATTGCGCGTGCCTACGAGATACTATCGAACGAGGAGAAGCGAGCGAAATACGACCGGTATGTGACAGATTTTAGGTACGGCTAGAAAAGGAATTTTTTAAAATGATTCAAATCAAGCAGCTTGCAGTTAGGATAGGAAGAGACGAGATAGTAGATTTATTGTTACCAAAGGTAAACATTTTTGTAAAGTGTTTTTGTTTCGCTCATTGGCCACCGTTATTTTCTATTCTAAGCTATTCTACTCCTTGAATTAATTTGCTCCGCTTATGCCTTCATATATTTACGGATAATTCCCTTTACTAAATATAATTGAAAATTATTATATTCGCATCTGATTTTGGTAGGGTTGGTTCAGTGGACGACTCCTCCAGTGATAATCCGGGAAGGGATGGATCCAGCGGTATGCACTTCAACTTCAATGAGTTCTTCCAACGGTTTGACGAGGCTAGGATGTTCCATGAAGGACGCAAAGATCCGCACCAACAACATTTTGATGGAGCACATCCTACAGAAGGTAAACGATTCAGGTAAATATTTTCGATTTACCATTAAAGCAAGTCGTGCTATCCTGTATGACTGAGCGATAAGCCGATCTCGCTGTTTAAAATAATAAAAATTCGAACGCAAACACATGTGTTGGTGTTACAGCGTCTCCTTGTATTTGTTGTAAAGAAACTTGTAAAAAGTGTAAAAAAAAATCAAGGCGAAATAGAATTGTGGATAGTAAATAAATAAAAGTTGGCAGTATCTTCTCGAACAAACCGAATATGTGCGTATCAGATATTAGGCCAAGACCCAGTTCTTATGTATACTATTTTTCTATAGTATTGCAAATTTCCATACTGTGTCATAAAATTTCCACAATTCCGCTCTGCTTTGTATTGTCATGCGCCTTTATTTTGTTCAGCTTCTCATTCGGCAACCTGAACTTGGATGATCTGTTCGGTGATGACGATGGCGAACATGAAAATGGAATGTTTAGTGAATTCTTTGGTGGAGGCGATTCGTTTTTCGGCAATATGGACCATATGCGCCAGGTCCATACGCAGCAGCGCTCGCAAAATTGTCGGACCGTTAGGAAACAACAAGGCAATACGATATCGACTTACACGACATGTTCATCAAATGTGGATCTTTAACGTTCCAGGATGCAGTCGGTAAACAGCGCGGAAAGGCGTACATAAGCACAACAACCAGTTAGCATAAATATGTATATTTGGGCTAACTAGGTTTTTGCGCTAATTAAATACTGAACATCGTTGTGATATGCCAATGAACAGTAATCCGTTTTTATAGCACAGCTGTGCCCATATAGAGAAAAGAAAAAAGGAAAGTGCGTATTTGTACATTAATAGTATGCACATCCGTCCGGAGAGTTACTGACCAGTGAACTACAGGCGACAGTATTTGTTAGTTCTAGATTTATGCGTGCTTAACCTAATAGTTTCAAACAGGCTCGAATGAATGACTAGCATATAGTTTTGACATAACGTGAGCAGCACAACTGGGCACAGAGTAGACGCTTAGCAGGCCTGGATCACTATAAGGGTATATATTTATGCGACGGCGTAGTCAAATGAATATGCGGTGCTCCAAGTATCAAATAAACGATTTAAGACGTTCGTAAAAATGTGCACACCTCAACACGACTTCAGAAGAACACGACCCAGGGATCGATGGTTAAACTAAATGAAAAACCCTACGAAGCTACGGGTAATATTCTAAAGCTATCGCTTTAGATAATGGGTTATCTAAAAAGTTATAGTGTAGCGGTCTGTTGTCGTTTGATGCAAAAAGTGTCGCTCGTTAAGTTGCCGCTATGTAAAAAATCGTCGGAACGTTGACAGAACTTGCAATTGTCTGTTCATGTTTCTCAATTGTGAGCTGTCATAGATAATATCGAAGGGCAGTGAAATGTTGTTCCGATTTATGCTATTCTATGTGTATGACTTTGGAAATACAAAATTGTTGTTTTATAAAACGAGCGCATCTCTACGCCCAATAGAAATGGGTTTGACTTCTCTCTGAAATAAAAAAAACAACAGACACATTTCTTCAGTAAAATCTTAAGTCAACAAACCGCATCTTTTCGGCTTAATTCGACTAATTCTAAAGAAATCACTGGAGGAGGAAAGGTGTTTTGTAACATGGAGTTGCTAACAAATAAGAATCGCTAATGTTTACTTTTCTGTTAAACGTTGAAACCTTTGTACTGTTATTAATTTGGGATGATGGTAGGCTTTGGTTTGTATGTCTTTCGTTCTATATGAGCCTATCTATCCATATGAAAAGGATCCAATACTTTGCGTAAAATACAGTAGCAGTATAAAGTTGAGATACAAGTATCACTCTTGGCTGTCTAAGTTGTCATGCTGACATACTGTAATCTACTAAAGGATAGTGTACTAGTTAACTGTTGCGTATAGTAAATCGGCAAATAAAGTGACGTTCAATATAAATGTGTTTTTAATGTTATTTTCGTTCCACATATGTGGCATGGACTAGTTAGCCAAACCAGCCGTAGCGTCACCCTCATTCAAGCTCGTGTTTAAGTAAATTATTTAAGCACGCGAGAGCTGCCTATAGGTTAAGATTACCATCAGTTTTAACGTACTAACCGGTAGTGAGACGGCCTATCAATTCCCCATTACTCTGTTGATTAATCAGCGGGAACCGGTGCATGTGGTAAATGTAAAGGTCTATGAGGAAGCGTTATACAAGCCAGCCTTCAATTTACGTATTGTATACAGATTTAATCATCGAAAATTTTCCTGGTGAGGTATGGATATAATAAAAACTACTTCGCTATATATTCACTCGTAATGTGCGTTTTTATCGATGTTCGAAATTATTCGGCGAAAATATATACCGAAGCTCCTCGATGTTTGCAGTAAGACTTTTCCGTGGCTAGACAAATGCAGTGAGCGCTTCATGTAGAATGCCTACGACAATGATCTGTGGCACCTCTCTTGAATAAGGAAACGTTCCCGAGGAAGCTCTTAAAGATCTGCTACCACTACCGTTAATCAGCTGCTTGAGGCGATCAACAATGGTTATCCGATCGCTTTTACCGCCAACAGTCAGATCATTCGCGCACAACCGTCGTCCGTACTGATTGTGCTCAACTAGTATAGTTAACGTACGCTGCCGTGATCGATTTGGGCACGCTGAAATATCATAGAGCTAATGAGGGTGATCTTACTAGTGACTCGCCGATCTCATTAAATGGTAGCACCTTTCGTGTGTGAGAATCTTTTATTCTTGTTGTAGAAATAGGCCTATTCCTTGGCACTATTTAATACTCTCGACAGTCTGGATTTTATCTATCTATCTATCTATCGCGCCAGCTATTAGAGCCTCTAACAAACCATAAATATTGTAGATATTGCAGGGTTTCTCAAAAAGAAGCAATTTCATCCAGTATAGGATTGTTAATGTTAATGTACTTCAGCGTGGCGATCTGATATTTTTGTCGAACGTCGCCGTCAGCAATTCTAAACAACACAGGCATCATTCTGAACAACTCTTTTCAATGTAGTTAACAAAGCTAGGTGTTGCAGGCAGAAATGTACGAACATCCTGATTTTAGATGCCAAATCAGTTTTGTTATTCCAAAAAAGTGTGTGAATGATGCTATGGATAGAACCTTGGTTTAAAGCAAACGGGCGAACTTCGAAACCATCCTAGAACGTCTCAATAAAGAAATTGTGACTGTGCTGTGTGCAAGTTCTAAAAGCCAAGTTGAACTCCATGTTCGAGATATTAAGGCCGTTAGTGTTATCGGGTCCAATGCAGGCCGTTGAGCAGAGTTATTTACAGTACGTGAGCATATGCGAGAATTTTTGGGGTCGAACACGAATTCGAGATAAGAGATGGCTCTTTTCAACTGTTTAATATTCGGGACGATCCTTCTGAACATTAGGGTGGCCTTTACCGGTTCATTTTGGACAAACCACTGAGTTTTATCGTTACCTAGGTTCATTCACATTACGCGCATTATACAAAGGAGAAATGACTGAGAAGGTGCGAACAGCTTGAACCCAGTTCCTTTCGCGAAAGTCGCAGCTCTGAAAAAATGCGTTTAGAGCCCTCGCGCGAGCTAGGCTCGGCCTGCTTGATTTTATGCCCATCAAATTATCCAACAAAAGCTAAATAATCAGGCATAGTGGGTCGTGGAACTCGTAGCAAAATGTCAAGACACATTTTAAATACTTTAATCGTTATTTATTGTATACTTACTATAGGGAAAAAGCATTTGCTACTCGCACTAGTGACTGCTATTGACCATATTAAACGCGCAATATATAAACGAGTGGTTTATCTATTTAGAACTCGACAAGAACAGAAGAACGGTCTAGGTCAACCATTGTCGCAGGTACAAACCGGCATACTTTTAAGATTTTGCTTCATCCGGCTAATCTGGCTAACGGGTTGTTACGCAAAGCATGGTAAGTGGCAGCTTTATGACCGATTAAAATAATTATGTGAAGTGAAAAAAAATGAATAAAATATTATCAACAAGGAATTCTTATAGTGTTTGCATGCTGACTCATTGGAAAATCCATGAGCTAATAATCTATAATAGCTTTTATAAGCAGTAGAACGTTCCATTTGTGCAAATGTTCGCTCACCATCAAAAACAAAGAACAGCAGTAGGTCACAGTAGTCGCTAAAAGATCTAAATTTTATGCATGCAATAATACTACTTTTTAGGAAATACATTTCATTCTACCAACTCTGGTGATCGAAATTTCCTTTTTTACTACTGTGGCTTAGGCCATTGTATAGAACTATAAAAAGTCGTAGATTTGCGAAAATGCCGCGTTGAACGCTGACTGTATGGACCGCTTTTATCTTAGAGCTTTCGTTTCTTACTTCACTCTCATAATAACAGTAAAAAACATAAATTATATCGTTCAATAAAGCATAGTGTAGCTACGCTAACAGTCTACAGAATATCGCATGTAATGTTATAGCTGAAGTGTCAATAACAATCAATCTACCAAAATTCATCGTACGTAAGAAAATTAGCGCGAGACGTAAATATCGTTCAACAAGTATTTACTTATTTATTATTGATATAATTCGATACATCACTTTTGTAAATAAACGACTGTGCACGCCGTTGCGCCGTTCAACTGGTCTTCTGTCGTTCTACTTATTATTGATGCTGCTTAACTGTAAGTAATGTTGTTATCACGATCTTCATTTTCTTCAGTTTTATAATAATAATCAATGTTTATAACACTATTACATTAGCATAACAAGATACGTATGCAAAGCAATGTGGTTTTGTTTTTGGAAATGTTATCGCCATATAGAACGCAGGTTCCTAGCGTTACTTGTTATCAGAGAAGAAGGTTTTGAAGATCGAAAAACTTTTATTGAACATTTTCTATGATTCGATATAGATATATAGACAATCATCAGAAGAGGGATTCTTCTGTTTACGTCTGTCGGAGCAAGGTTATTATTAGGTCAGCTCCTGTATAGGGAGCGAAAAAACTCTTCGACACACGCTTCCAGTAGTCACACTTTAGCGTTTATTATTGTATTAGATTTTAGTCGTCATAAACAAAGTTTGACTTGCTAAGCGATTAATTTCTTTTGCTTTGTATTTAATATTCTCATTGCCGCATTATTAGCAAATAGGCGGTTTTCATTTGCCCGAATTTACACCTTTGTATTGAGGAACGACGTACTCATCCAATGTTCTGAAGTATTTTTCCTTTTCTCGACACCGGTGGGAACAACAAGGCTAGACAAGCTAAGCTAGCTGAAACAACTCAGCTTTGTTCTAGCGTCTTACTCATGACATCCTGTTCACTTCTAAGGTGTTTTTATCCAGTTTTTATGGCTTCCTCCCGTGATCGAATTTTGTTTTTGTTGGCGTTTTGTATGTTTGCCTATTTATATGTGACTTAAATACGGCTTATGTAGTACACCTAAAACAAATTATAGTTTATATCCAGGTGAAAATATTTTTAGTTCCACGCCCGGTATTATCGTTAGCCATGGCTACATACAATTCACGTCTTACTAAAGAAACCATCATACCTCAGTAAACCGGTTACGTCCCCGAAAGTGTCCCCCCAACTGAGGTGTCTCTTCAGTTTAGATCCCGAGAGGGATAGTTCAACTGTGAACTCTTCCCCTACAGTTTATGGTTCGTAGCTGTTGACTTATTTCTCATACAGGTTAATTTGTATGAATATTGAAATACGCAATAATATTTGTAGGCAGCAGCAGTTGTGGTAATAATATAACCGTAGTCGGATGGTATTAATTTCCATTCACGCAAACACATCCGGTAAAAATTGTCACAATAATGCATTCTTCATATTCCTCCATTGTGTGTATAATTAAAATTAGCAGAATAAATATTACAGTCAATAGTAATAGAATAAGAATGAATATTATTAGTAGCGGGTTTTAGCACCTAAAAATAACCCGCACAAACATCGACAAAAGCGAAAATGCGACCAATTTCATTGCTTTCGATATTCTGTCGCAGAAAAACTAAGCATTTCCAAACGATGCTGAACAGATACGACTAAAATCCTATTTATTTATCATTGTTTTTATCAAACTAGCATTGTACGAGTGTAAACGCATGTATATATCTATAATGTATCTACGAAGTTTTTACTTCACACATAAAAAAAAGGATGCAGCAATGATTAGGCAAGCTTTTTCCACGTTCGTGATTGCAGTGTGTTATGTTCTCGGATCGGTCGCAGACCACAAAGCAACGCATAAAGCTCCAATGGCTGGTTGTTGACTCAGTCCGTTCATTGTTATCATTATCTGCCAGTGAAGTTCGTCTTTTTCCACCGCAGCATAGAGGTGTAGATATCTCTTGTGGCCATCGACCACGTTATATGTGTATACATAGCTTTCGGTCACTTTTTCCATATAGTACATATGTGTATATAGGCGCAGCAATGTATCACTATATATATATATATATATATATATATATATATATATATATATATATATGCAATTTTAATATGGGTGATACTCAGTAAACCTTCGTAAAATGTTCTTTTCTTTTCTACCAAGTTCTCATTGTGCTTGTCTTATATTCCCTGACTCTATACCTTCCTCGCTTTCTGTCCGGATTTTCTCCGAAATATCAAGACAAGTTGTTACGAAAGATTAGTTCTTTTGCGGATACCTCAAAACGTATAGGAACAATCAGGTGTTCTAGAAGGCTTTTTCAAAGGCTTAGCCCCCCATTGTGAAGGTGGCATCGAGCATGTCACCTGCTTTACTTCGTTCGAGATAGATCCGCGAAATCGATACTCAACTGTTATGAAAGAATTTTTTTTCTGTTTTTTGTTTTTTTCTTTCCTTTCTTGACTTTATTATTATTATTATTATTATTATTACTATTAGCGATATTTATATCATCATCATTAAATAGCAATGAATAATGAAACTTTGACACTGGCGAAATGCA